CTTCCTCCTCCCCCACCCCTTTATGCGCCTGCTACCTCGGCTAGCTTGAGCGTTAGCATTGCGTTACTTTGTAACGGAAGCGAGCACTCTGCGATCCAACAAGTCAGCGGCGAGGCGGTTTCAATGTTTTGTCAGATGGTAGCGTATTCGTAGGGTTGAGTATGGAACAACTTTTCCTTCGATCGATTTACGAGCAGGTGAAATATGCGATGTTAAATCGACATCGTTAATATACGTTCTTCCTTTTGGTCATCAAGCGAGTTCATGGGCAGTAGATGGTAGGTTTCGACCTTGCGAATACCTTGCTCGCCCCACTCCCTTGTGTTGTTTGACTGTGAGAACTAATGTAAATTCTTTATATATGTTGGCCAGGATGGGTTAAAAAATCATTACTTCAATTACCGTTCAGCCTAAAATGTAATTTTTATGAACAGGTTCGGGTGCAGAATGGGGTTCCAAAATGCTTTTGTTTACTTTCATAAGGATAGCGCGAATACCGTAATTTTCAAATTAGGAGGACGCTAATTTTCCTTCGTGATACCTTAATATGGTCATTTCTGTTTTATCTATACCACTTGCCTCCTTGATTATCATTTCACGCTGTTGGAATCAGAGATCAAACGATTTGAATTTCTCCGTTAAAAATAGAAAGTTTAAGGGTATATCTCTCTCTCTTATCATATTCAACTGATTATTATGTATCGAAAGTTAATAATATTGATTGTCCTTTGCCTGAGAACCAAAATTTTTGATGACAACAAACATTCAGGTCATTTGGAAATTGGAGTCCGTTAAAGAAATACCTTTGAGTGGTTTTGGTCAGTCTGTGGTGATCAAGGAATCTTTTTGTAATGTGAAGAATAATTGTGTATCTTCAAATAACTTGCCAAACTGTTGTATAATATTTTTACTGCTTCTTCATATTAACCTCTCCTCTAAATGGCTGTAGGGATAAAAATTCTGTGTTATCTGTGTTTTAAGATAGGGCATTATTTTTACTTGCTACTTAAGTATGATTGATTTCTGTCAAATGTCAAATGTAATTAATGGTAGTGTGTTTATAGGAAAAGGATCTATAGTTTGCCATACATTTTGTTCCATCCATTCTAAATGAAAATAATAAGGGTTTTAACATCTTACACCCCACTACACCTTATGAGCAGCATGCTGTACCTAGAATTGTGTCTGTTCAACTCTCCAGGGCTTGACACTATAGCTAATAGTAGCCAACTTAGGCCACAGACTAGCAGACATTCAGTTTTGGCTAGTGGTTTTCGATTTCCACTAGCCAGGTTAAATTCAGTGGCGAACATGCTGGTTCAATTTGGTCTCTTGACCAACTGTACTTACTCTGGGTTTGAGACACTATGAAATTATTCACAGTTCAATAAACAAAAAAGCGAAAAAGACAAGCAAAGCAACTCATCTTCTCAAACAAAGGCTTGCAATGTCATCATGAAGGAACGAAAAGAAGGCAAAAAAGTAACTTGTGTCCCCGCTACTGCCTTTTGATTGGTTGACAACAGTCACACCACTTGGTCACACCAAAATCTTACACATCTTTTCATTGGTCCCAATAGTTCTGTCCTTGCAATTGGCTCAAATCAAATTCCCAGGAGAATCTACATTACATCAGGTTACAGCTTACGGGTTACACTTTCGGTGGCTTGATTGAGAATTTTTCTGCCTATTGCCCAATCTTGCACAGCTCTATTCTGTTACTGCCTCGCCATCCAAGCGTCTTCGCTCGGATGGCTTGTTGGCAATTAGAAGGATTTCAAAATCTGCAAGGAAAAAGAGGATGCTTGATCATGCTGAAAAAGAATTAGAACAAACCAAAGAAACTTTCTATTTCTGAAACCATTCAAGACCCAATAAATGGGCTTAAAAAATCTAAGTATCCCTGCAGACCTCGCTTCTCAAGTGCAGCCAGTACGTCCATAGCTAGTATATCGACAGCCAGCTTTATTTCTGACCTTTAACCCAGTAAAGCTTACCCTGGCCTAAAATTTTAAGGCTAGTAAACAAACTGAAATTGTTGTAACATCTAAGTTGTCACTAGCCATGTGGCTAGTAAGTTGAAAAGTTAGTGTTGAGCCCAGTGCTCTCTCCATCATAAGGTCTATTTGTTTATTGTAAATGATTGGAGGGGGGTTATCAATTGCTAAGATTTATACACAGGGAAAGAGGAGGGGCTTGTTGCAGACAGGTGCTTGCTGGAGAAGGTCTCTTTTTAAGATTCTGTTAAAGGTTCTTCAGGTGTAGTTGCATAGTGTAAGTAATTTCAATGTCATTTTTTATTAGTTTTTTAGATTTCACAAACAGGAGGTAGAAGGAGGGTTACACTTGGTAGGGGTGGTTAGTAGAACATAATTTAAAGCGCAGCTCTTGGCCTAATTGTAATTATAAACAAATCATAGCTTTATTTATGTCCTCTGTTTTATTTAGTTTTCACTCAGAGCTTACAGGGTAGATTAATGCAGCATTTACTGTAATCTCA